TGGCAGGCCCCTAAAAAAGTAAACTTGATGCTCAGCATGGTGGTACAGGCCTGTAATCCCAGCACTCAGGCGGGTGCAGGCAGAATCACACATGTTCAAGGGGCTGCCTTGTGAGTTTGGGGCCAGCCTGGAACATCACAAGACCCTACCCTATGGCGAAAAAGGTGAGCTTGATCATTCTGGAGATAAATTGAAAAGTCAGTAGGATAGGTAGGAAATATGCTTTGAAGAGTTGCTTAGGACCACTATTGTAGACACATGGGGAGAAGTCATATGAACTCTCAAGACTTTAGCTAAATGAATGATTTATTGCCCTCAAAGGAAAGGCAGGATGTGGTGAGTGAGGGAGAAAATGGTAGGGCTAGGACTTGAGCTGTCAGGGAATTAATGATGTAGGACCTTGTGGGCCATGCGAAGAACTTTGGGTTTAACTGAGTTTGGTGGAGAACTATTGATTGCAGTTTTGAACCCTAAGTGGAAGTGCTGTTGTCTGGCTTAACATGGGAGTGGCCCCTTTCTGGTTGGATAATACCTAAGCTGTGAGTGAATAACTTACAGACCGATGGGGTTTATTTGGCTTACAGTTCTGGTGGCTGGAAGGTTCTGACAGCATGGCGCTCGTGCCCCGAGAAGTGGGAAAGAACCAGAAGCATGCGGAAGGGCACCTGTGCAAGGGAATGAGTAGAGATAGCTAAACTCGCTTTGTAGCAATCCATTCCTGAGGGGATTAATACATTCCCAAGAGATAGCGAGACCTTGGTGCGGGTGGAGCCCCTGTGCCTGATAGTTTCCTCTGGGCTCCACCTCTTCAAAGGGGACCAAGCTTTCAGCACATGAAGGTTTGGTTTGGGCTTGAGTACTTTAAACAACTTAACTGTAATGACATAGATTGCCTTCTTTTCTTTTCTTTTATCTTTTTTCATGTTAAAGCAGAACTTAAAAGAACTGGCTTCGAGGCAGTATAGTTTATAAGTATTTGTCCATTTGGATATACACTTGCTGCTACACACCACTTCACATCTTTGAGCAAGAGATCTGAGTAGGAAGAGTAAAGACCTGACACAACTGGGGACAGTAGAAGTCTGCTGTGAGCATTTATTTCTCTCAGGCAAGGGTGTCACAAACCTGTTCAGTTAAGAAAGCCATCCTTGTGTTAATGATTGAAACTGTCCAACCAATTTTATTTGAAACTGTCTCATTACTATTTGTTTATCAATAAATTTATGAAAAAAAAAAAGAAAGCCATCCTTATAACTCAGAGGACCTGTTGTTTTTTTTTCTTTTCCTTTTTTTTTTTTTTTCTTCGTCTTTTTGAGACAGTCTTGCTATGCAGTTCAGCTGCTCCTGAATCACTTTGTAGATCAGGTTGGTCTCAAACTTGGAACAATCCTGCCTCAGCCTCCTGAGTGCTGGGATTATGGGTGTGCGCCACTATGCCCCGTGCCCAGCTTGTGTTTTCATTTTTAAGCTGTACTGGATACTGAGCCCAGGGCCTCGAATACCTTAGCTGCTAACTAAAGAGCCCCACGCCATGTATGCCATGAGTCCATGGAAAGTGGATTCCAGCTACTCGGTGTGCTCTCTGGCTGGGAGAGCGTAGTGCTTTATTTGAACTCAGGTACTTTTCTCTTTGGCTTCATTCTTTTTCTGATTATTTTCCTTACTGTGTTTCAGAAAGCTATCTCAGCTCTTCCAAGGCTTGATTCATTCAGTGCCACACTGATTCTCTTGGCAAGGATCTTACCTTGGTGTAGTGGCACACACCTGTAATCCCAGCACTCAGGAGGCTGAGGTAGGAGAATTGCAAGTTCTAGGCCAGCCTGGGCTACAAAGTGAGCTCACGGTGAGCTCGCACTGCATGTCTCTAAAAACAAACAAAAAACAAAAAAAGGAATCCAGCCCCTTAACTTGGTTACTTAAGACAGTACTAACAGCATGCCCAGTAACGGTGCTCTTCCATTTTTGCAGTGGTAACTTTTGTGCAGTATTACTTTTTTTGTATTTTAGGGAAGGGTCTAGAGTGTCTACGGGGTCTCATTATTAGATCATACTCACAGTGATCCTCCTGTTTACAGCCTCCCAAGAGCTGGGATCACAGGTGTGCGCCACCACGCCCAGTTTCAGTTGCCATCTCAGAGCACCCCAGTGGCCCAGGGATTGAGACATTACTTTTTGAACAGTACCCATCTCCTTGATGTCTACAATATCATCCTTTTTGTAGATTTGCATATATGTGGCCAAAGGAGCAACTCTATGCTTTCTAAAAGGCCGAGGGAAAGTATACTGGCTTCCTGTCCTCTTTTGTGTTTATCGTTTTGGTAAATTGCTGGAAGATGGCATTTCTGACAAGAACAAAAGCTAGCCCCTGATCTTTTAGAGGCAAAGCATAGCATATATTTAAAAGTAAGATTATGAATTAAGACCAAATAGAAAATATACAGACAAGAATATTTATATGGCCATATTGTATACAGAGAGAGATCATAGTATCAGTATCTAGATCTAAATTTGAATTGTAATTTCATAGAATGTTTCATATATGCATTGAAATGATTTTAGAGGGGCTGGAGAGATGGCTCAGTGGTCTAAAGCACCTACTTGGAACAAGCTTGGCAAAGCACAGGGACCGCGGTTCAATCCCCCAGCACCACATGCCAGCCAGCCCCGCCCCCTGGTGGGCTGAGCTGGCCACACACACTAAATGTTAAAAAAAAAGAAATGATTTTAGAGTCTTAACAGATTGGATGCTACACATTAGTTTGTTTATTTATTTATTTATGGCGGAACCAGGGATTGAACTCAGGCCCTTGCGCTTGCCAGGGAAGTGCTTATTCCACTGAGCCATCTCCCTGGCCCTACACATTAGCTTTATATCTGCATATCAATACATTGTTTTTCAAAATGATGCTTTTCATATCTGAAATGTAATATAGCTCTCTAAAAGTTAAGATAACACTTGCCTGGAAAGCACAAGTCCTTAATTCAGTCCCCAGTGCCGCAAAAAAAAAAGTTGATGTAAAATATATGCATGTAAAACTGTTAGTAGAATTTTTTTATTGTGACAGACTCGGGTGCTTTGGTCAGGCTAACTAGTCAGGATCAGTTAGCCTTTGGTCAGGGCAATCCCTTGACCAATGTGGCTGAGGCTTTGCTGTGCTTGTCTTTGTGTTTTTTTTTTCAGTTTGGATTCTTTCAGGTAACCCTGAGCTCTTTAGTTTACCACCAGCCTTCGTCATCTTCATTGACATACATGTCTAACTTACATAGTCATTAATGTGACTTTCCTGGCATTTAAATTCTTGCAAGTTTCTGCTGGAATTGCCATGAGCAGAAGCCAGACTCCTCTGAGCTGAGTAGTGTATGAGAAATAAAGAAGCAGATCCAAGGAAGAGCTTAGCAAAGGAGGATGGAGGCAGGTGCAGCATCACAAAAGTGGGCGCTGCTGCCTTCTGAGTGTGGCATGGAGCAGTCCTTGGAGCATTTCCCATGAGTCCCTCTTTTCAGCTGTTTTTCCAACCTCTAGGAAAGTAGAAATAAAACTTTGCAAAGGTGGGATCATATACAGTACTCAATACAATCTTATGGACAGAACAAGAATTCAGATTTGAAATCAACAAAGGAAACATAGCTGGGCATGGTGGTCCACATGCCAGTAATATCAGAACTCTGGGAGGCTAATGCAGAAGGGTTACAAATATGAGACTGGTCTGGGCAATTTATTATTTTTATTTATTTTTTTCTGTATTTTAGGGGCCTACAGGGTGTTCAGGGTCTCACTACTAGACTGGACTCATAGTAATTCTCCTGTTTATCGTCTCCCAAGTGCTGGGACTACAGGTGCATGTCACCACACCCAGTATCAATCGCCATCTCAGTGTGCCTCCAGGGGGTGGGGCCAGCACTGCAGGCCTGGAGATAGAACCCCTGACCCCTGCACTTGCTTGCAGGCTCTTTATCTGCTGAGCTATTTGGCCAGCCCTGAACTACATATTGAGACCCTGTCTCAAAAAAAGCCTAAACTGAACAGACAAATAGAGTAGTTCAGTCTGAAGGCCCTGGGTTCCCTGGTACTGTGGAGGAGTGGGGACAGAACCCCAGAAAAGCAGATGAAAGACTTAGAAACAGGGGCCGGGGAGATGGCTCGGTAGAATAAGTGCTTCCCTGACAAGCACAAAGGCCAGAGTTCAATCCCCAGTTCTCCCCCCCCCCAAAAAAAAAATACTTGGAAACATGGCACCAGTCCTGCTTTAATAGGGTTAAGGTGCCAAACAGCACTTAAATACGATATCCAAGGAGGAAGTAACATAGGATTTATTTGGGGCTTCAGTTAACTGGATAAGAGCTTCAAACTTTTATCATTATAATAGCCGCATTTATGGGGAAATGAACATTTTATTTCTTAAACAGGTCCATGATACTTTCATTGTTGAGTTTTTTTTTCTACATAAGCCCCCGTACTTAGTCTATTTAGTAATCTATGAAGAAGACAAGCTTTATTTTTAAATCCTTTTCAAGAGAATTATTTAGTCCCAAGCAGCCCTGGCTAACTGTGTATACATGATAGTCACAGAATTGGCTCTTGAGAGCCAATTGGATACTTTGAGTGAGGGGTTGGGAATACAGCATGGTTGTAAAGCACTTGCTTAGGGTACTCAAGGCCCTGAGTTTGATCCCCAGCTCTACCAAAAAAAAAAAGACACATCAAACGCTAGCTGGGTGTGGAGGTGGCATGTGCCTGGAGTCCTGGCTGCTCAGCAGGCTGAGGCAGGAGGTCCGGTGAGCCCAGGAGTCTGCACCCAGCCTGGCCAGTGTGGTGACCCTGTTGCATACACCAGAAACATTGACAGAGGCATGTTTGGTGATGAGGTAGGTTACTAAGCAGGTATACTTGTCTAGACTCTTTATTTCCTTTAAATCAAAAAATCTCGTATTAATATCTGGTAATAAAAAATAAGACAGCTTTGATTTTCAAAGAACTGAAAAATAGTCTTTCTTTTCAGGATGGTCTGCTTGTTCTTCATTATGGTCTTGTGGTTTCTCCTCTGAAAATAACTTGAAGAGGCAAGTTGTGTTTCGAGGAGGGCAGAAGGCGCGGCCTCTGCAGGACTGCATCTCACCAAAGACTTCGGCGCAGCACCCACCGCTTCATGCTGTGCAGACGTAGCTGATCTATTTTTAGTACCAGGATACAATGTGGGACAAAGGAATGCATCGGTTTAATTATTAGAGACTATAAAAAGCACCAGAGCTCAGGGGAAGTTTTTCAAAACACTGCATTTTAAAATTCTTGTGATTCCATATACTTTGACATATATTTTTGCTTCATGTCTTTGAAGTAAATTGGTTACCGTTTTCTCCTGTCGGGCGCATCACTGTTAGCTCGGTGGCTGGGTCGGGGTCCTTGTGGGAAAGGAAGCATGCTGCGGCCGCAAGGCTCAGAGCAGCTGCGCCCGGCCATCGGGCAGGCGCACACAAAGGGCTGGGCCGTTTGCGCGCCTGCGTGTTGCTGCCCTCGTGTGAACTTGTGCGTCTCTGGCAACGTGGCAGCGCAGGTTTACTCAGCTCTAAGACAGACAGATTTCCATGTGCTGTGTGAAGAGACTATTTCCTGTAGGGTCTGTCACCCACGCCAAAAGCCTTCAGTGTAATAAAACAACATATTTTACAGTAAGAGGTGCTTATTTGTGATTTTATTTTTAATTTATGTGCATACATACTATGGTTGTTACATTATAATTAATGACAGTGCTTTTGAAAGTAGTAAACAAGGTGTCAGAAGCTTACAGAATACTTGTTTCCGCAGTAAAACAGCTTAACGTTCATTTTCTCATTTTTCACTAGGATAAAGAATAAGGGTGTTTGAGAGCTTTCATGAAGAGTTCAGTTTTAAACATTTTGCCTAAAAGTAGCATTTCAGTGCTTTCTAAAAAAAAAAAAAATTATAACCTTTATTTCACAGCGGAATTACCAAATCTGTATAGAAACTTACAAAACTAGAGGATTGGCAATTGTCTTGTCAAGAATTTGTGCACTGTGCGTACATCTAACATCTAATAAAAATTTATTTTAGCCTATTTTGACATGTACATTGGGTTCTTAAAAACACTAAAGCCCTGGGGCCAGGGAGATGGCTCAGTAGAGTGAGCGCTTGCCTGGCAAGCACAAGGGCCTGAGTTCAATCCCGGGTTCCGGGAAAAAAAAAAAAAAAGCCACTAAAGCCGTTTAAGAGACAAGGTACGTAAACCAGAGTCACTCTGTTACTCTTGGTGGTGGTTGTGCTGGGAACCAAGCACATCCTCAGCATGTGCTCTGCCACTCAGCTGTATTCCTGGCCCCACTTGAGTCGAAGCGAAACGCCATAGAGTAGGTATTTGTGCTGTGCGCAGCGGCACACACCTGGAATCCCAGCTGTAGGGATTGGGTGGCCTTTCGGTGGTCCCCGGGAGAAAATGCCAAGAGGATTTAGATGATAAAGATGAGATCATAGCTGAGGTCAGGTGGTGGACCATGCCTGACTGGCAGAGGACCCCTGAAAAACAGTAGGGGCCTTTATACCTTTTTTTAAAAAATGTATTTGGTGTAGGGTCTCACTATACCTCTTGGACTCAGTGATCCTCCTGTTTTCAGCCTCCCAAGCCCTGGAATTACAGGCATGTACCATAATCCGGTTTTGATGGCCGGCTCAGTACACCTGGGGGCAGGGCTAGCACAGCATGTGGTGCCTGGATTGAATCCTGGTCCCCGTGCCAGGCAGGTTCTTAGTCTGCTAAGCTATGTGGCCGGTCCTATAAATAAAAATCTTTTAAAAAAACAGAAAAGGGGGCTGGAGAGATGGCTCAGTGGTCTAAAGCACCTACTTGAAACAAGCTTGGCAAAGCACAGGGACCGCGGTTCAATCCTCCAGCACCACATGCCAGCCAGCCCCGCCCCCTGGTGGGCTGAGCTGGCCACACACACACACACAATAAATAAATGTAATAAATAAAAATAAATAAATATTTAAAAAAAAAATAAAAAATAAAAAATAAAATAAAAAAATAAAAAAACAGAAAAGGGAGCAGGCCAGATAGCTCAGCAGATTAAAGCACCTGCTCAGGCAGAGCACAGGGACCGGGAGTTGATCCCTGGCATGCCGTGCTGGCCCCAGACTCAGGGTATGCTGAGATGGGGGTGTAGTGGTGCACGCCTGTAATCCCAGCACTTGGAAGGCTGAAAACAGCAGGATCACTGCGTCCGATCTGTGTAGTGAGACCTTGCACTAAATACATTAAAAAAAACCAGCTCTCCACTGAATGACATATGCAAGTACGCAGCACACAAACATCTTTACAAAATCAGAGTGTACTCAAATATGTTCTTAACCAAAGTGAATTATTATTACAATTTTCAGAAATTTATAATCAGACTAGTCAGATTTTGTTGTTTGTCAATTAGCAAAGATCTCTTATCAGAAAAATTTGGAAGGAATAGTATCTATAATATGCATATTCTGTATTTTTGTACGTTGTCTTAAGCATACTTTCAGCTCAGCACTGTATACTGTATCATCTGTTGAGACCTTGGATTCCGCTCTGTCATGTTCCTCCAGTAGCCCCAGGTCACATCCAGCCTCGTGGTGGGCAGCTTCCTCGCTAGCTCTGGCTTCGTGGCACAGCCCACAGCCCAACACATGTCACTCAGTATTCTCCGGAAAAGACACAAGCATATCCTCCATCCCAGATCAGCTTTTTTTTTTTTTTTTTTTTTTTTTTTGCTTTGCATAATTGAATTATTGTTCCATCACTGTACTTCCATCTTTTGTAAAATTTAAAAAATTTAATAGTACACATTGACAAGTAAAGTGAGAGAGATTGGTCCACCCTCTTGTTTTTGTAATTATTGTACGGTGAGAAAACTATTTTGGAAGAAGAAGCCATCATATGGCCTCCCTTATATGGCTCATCTTTAAAAACAAGCAAATTAATTTATCTGAAGGATGACAATAGCACCAGAGAGATTAGCCTAAAATCTGGATGGAGCCAGTTAATATTACCAAAGCCTGAAAATCATGCAAGGTTGACGTGAGCAGTTTGGAGCACACTATATCTTTGTGAGTTGAGTTGACGCAAATATGAAGAAGTTAGTGTAGCTTGTACCCTTTCGAGGCTACCACCAGGCATGCCACTACTTAAGTGGAATGTCAAAATCAAGGGACTGTTGAGGCTGGACTGCCTTTAGGTTATACTCAAAACTTCTGTTTGTAAAGTATCAAAGCTTTCTCTATACCAAATAAACTTAGACTGTAAAACAGGCTAGTCAACTTTATTAGGAATCAAAAGAACGTTAATCTTTTAAAATATCACCATTGTAAATCTTAGGAATTAAGATTTTTTATCTTTAAAATGGAAAGTCTTTTAAATTAGTCACCTTGGGGGCTGGTGAGATGGCTCAGTGGTCTAAAGCACCTACTTAGAACAAACTAAGCCAAGCAAAGCACAGGGACCGTGGTTCAATCCCCCAGCACCACATGCCAGCCAGCCCCGCCCCCTGGTGGGCTGAGCTGGCCACACACACAAAATAAATAAATGAATAAAATTTTAAAAAAATAAAATTAGTCACCTTAAGGGGGAAATGTAAAAGCTTTTCTTTTAGTGTCACCTGTAATGGGAGGGAGAACCACTATTTTCAGCTTTTTTGAGGCTATTCCTGGCAGAACAACCCTTTGTATCCCTCTAGGTCAGCAGTCTAGCACATTTGTAGTTGCCCTACTCAGAGGCCATTTGTACTTGCATTAGAAAAGCCTTCAAAATGTTTTTCTTTAATTTCTATCTTTTAATCTAATATATCCTTTAAAACATGTTTTTAAAATTTTTATCAAATAACCAATTGAGCAATACAAGAGTCTGGTGGGGTTGAAACAATGGTTTGGGTAGACTGAATTACAACTTTGACTTCCCTGTATAATTAGCATGGGTACCAAGGAAAACCTTTTGGTATTGGGCTCTATCTCTGGTTGCCTGTGCTCCGCAGCCTTGGGCTGGACGCGCTTGCCTGTCATAGTGGGAAGGGGCTCCCTTGCCCACGTTCCCCTCTCCTAGAGGCCTCCGTGTGTAGCCACTGCCTGCTACTCTAGCTCTGACCTCTGGATGTTTTTGGTTTTGCCCAGATTTTTTTTTTTTTTTTCTTTTTTAGCAGAACCGGGGATTGAACTCAGGCCCTTGCGCTTGCCAGGCAAGTGCTTATTCTACTGAGCTATCTCCCTGGCTCCTTTGCCCAGATTTTAAGCATAGATCCTATCTGGAGCATTATGAATTTCTTTTCTCTTTTCTTTTTTTTTTTTTTTTCCTGTATTTTAGGGAAGGGTCTACAGGTCTCACTACTAGATGGGACTCATAGTGATCCATGTGTTTACAGCCTCCTAAGAGCTGGGATTATAGGTGTGTGCCACCGCACCCAGTCTCATGGCCATCTCAGCTCACTCTGGGAGTGGAGCTGGCGCAACAGGCCTGGGGACCAAACCTCCAGCCGTGCGCCTGCTTGCAGGTATTTTAATCCCTTGAGCTATTTGGCTGGCCCTGGAACTTTATTTTATTTTATTTATTAATTTTTTCAGTACTGGGGAAGGATTTTTATTTATTTTTTATTTTTTTGGCTGGCTCAGGCTGCCTTTAGGGCAGGTCTGGTGTGTCATGTGGAGCTGGGGATTGAACCGTGGTCCCCTGTGTCTGACTAGGTTTGCCCATGCAGGCACTTAAACAACTGAGCTAACTGGCAAGTCCCCATATTTTTGCAGTACTGGGAATTGAACTCAGGACCCATCTCCCCAGCCCTGGGATTCTAATTTTTTTTATGTTTTTAATTTATTTTTAACCTGCGTTTAGTGGTATAGTGGTGAGCATAGCTGCCTTCATAATTTATTTTTATTTTATTTTATTTTATTTTATTTATTTATGTGTGTGGCCAGCTCAGCCCACCAGGGGGTGGGGCTGGCTGGCATGTGGTGCTGGGGATTGAACCGCGGTCCCTGTGCTTTGCTAAGCCTGTTCTAAGCAGGTGCTTTAGACCACTGAGCCATCTCACCAGCCCCATAATTTATTTTTATTCTATTTTTAATTTTTAATTTTTGTTTCAAATTTTTTAATAATAGTTTATTATTATTATTATTATTATTATTATTATTGCGTGTGGCACAGGGTCTCACTATGCAGCTTGGACTTGTAGTGATCCTCATGTTTTCAGCCTCCCAGCACTGGGATTACAGGCATGCACCACCATGCCCGGATTCAGGGGCTGGCTCAGCACGCCCAGGGGCAAGGCCAGTGTGGCGTGTGGTGCTGGGTATTGAACCCTGGTCCCTGCAGATGTTTAGTCTGCTGAGCTATCTTGCCAGCCCTCTGGGATTCAATTTTAAAACTACTCCATGCTAAATCCTTTGTGGTAGTCTTAGTAACACAAATACAGAAACCAAGAAAACAAACATTTTACATACATCTATAAACATCTGTGGTTCTTGAAACTCTGTCCTTTTTTTTTTTTTTTTTTTTCTCAGTACCAGGGATTGAACTCTGTCCTATTTTTAACTCAGTGTAACTTTCTCCTTTCTGGATTTTCTCAAACCTATTTCTCTCTCTCTCTCTCTCTCTCTCTCTCTCTCTCTCTCTCTCTCTCTCTCTTTGTGGAACCAGGGATTGAACTTAGGCCCTTGCACTTGCCACGGAAGCACTTATTCCACTAAGCCATCTCCCCGGTCCCGCAAACCTATTTCTCTCTTTAAGTTTACTTTTCATATATATATTTTAAGTTCAGTACCCCCACACCCCATGTTTTTCAACTGATAATTGTCAGTATAACACTCCAGTGCTAACTTCTGATCCACCAAACTGTTCCCCCATGCTGTTGCCAGCAAAATTCTGAGGAACACCCTCCCACCCTGTCACTATGTCCTTACTTGGGGTCCCTGTCACAGGTGCCAAATGTAGGGATCTGGTGGTCTCTCGGTGGTCCCAGGAGAAAATG